CGTAACAGAATCGCTTCACTTGTTGCTCTAAATAATTCTTTTGTCTTTCTGTTATAGGTACTCAGAGCCACTGCAAATGGCAAGATGGCCTTAACCTGGTCCCAATGAAGATAAACAAATAAAGTAAGTCTTTTGTCTCTTTACTTACGATCGTTTTCCATTCATCAATGTTATCAGAAACTCAGCAGTATTACAGAAATTCAGAGGTAGTGTAAAAATTCCCATAAGCAGCACAGAACCAGATATTTTACTCCCGTATCATGTACTCTGCTATTAAAGGATTCTTGAATACTAAAGGAATTCCCCACACTTAGGAATCCTGTCTTCATGGCACACTACAGCAGTAACAATTAAACTTAAGGTCTCTTTCTTAACTGGGTCTTTTGGTGCTTGAACAGGTTTGAGGCCTCAGTTGCTTATGGGAAGACCTCTGGTTTCCGATATAGTACAAACCTTAGCCAAAAGCTAAACTTTGTCACATGCTCATTAAAGCATTTTCCTCCAAGTAAATTTGATTATAGAGTTTAATATTGTGCCTCCTGACAAAGGAACTGTTCTATGTTTTCTCAAGTGCTACTTAGTCTGGACCTTGAGTAGTCATTTTTTTTCTTGTTTCATTTCACAAGAAAAAGCATAAAACACAAAATGAAAAACAAAAAATCTTGCCCACCAACTTGCTGCAAAGCCAGGTGTAAATATGTTACTTGAGGGCCTTGAGAGCTAGTCTGACATTAACTATACAGGTAGTCCCCAGTTTATAAACATCTAAGTTATGAACAACTCGTATGCTCAAACAAGCGTACCCAGAAGTCTTGCCTCGTCCTCAAGCAGCAAGCAGGCACCCACAGGCTCCTGCTTGCCAACTACTGCTCACCACCAGTCAGAACTTGTGCCAGGCAGTGGGGGGAGGGAGGGAGGGAGGGAGGGAAAAATTTGTGCCAGAGAGCTGCAAAGTCAAAACTAGAAAGCAACTCCAGTGGTAACCCCCCTCACCCTTCCAGCAGCACAATCAAACCCTGACTCTTCAGCATGAGGTCCATCCTCTCCATTACCAGTCCCATCTTCATCATCATCCAGTTAATGTTAGGCTTAATATTAGTTCAAGAATTGTTTTACTATTTTTTCTATCTACCTAAACTGCTTTAAAAACTGAACTATATACCTTCATACACAGTTTCTCTCTCTCTCTTCAATACCTGTAGTTATATTTTATTATTAAAATGCTGTGTTTAAGATATTTTCGTGTATATGGAAGGGTTTCTTAAGTGTTTTATATGCTTTTTATATATGTGATCTGACTTACATACGAATTTGACTTAAGGCCATTCTCCAGAATGGAACACATTCATAACCCAGGGACTCCCCCTATAAATTATACCAGACTTCAGAGAAGGAAAGATCATAATGCCATTGCACAGATACATACAGTAGTGCCATCTCAGCCTCTTCAGAATGCCAAAGAATCCCAAATGGCTATACAGAAATTTCCATATTTTCCTGATAATATCCTGCTTTGCTCCACCATGTAATGCTGCATAGCCTGTATCAGGATCCACATTTTGAGAAGCTATTCTTTTCAAGCTAAAGAATTCAAAACTTTATCTTCCTTCAGGAGAAAAGGTGTTAATAAGTTGAATACAAGGCCTTTTGCAAGAGGGAAACAGGTGTATTAGCAAGGAAGTTCCTTTTGAACTTAATGCCTATGAAGATGTAAGCATCTATTCCAAAAGGTAACAAAGTTGCAAAATATTTTAAACAAGGTTGTGACCCAATCAACAAGGATGCTGTTACAAGCATACATCAGAACAAATGTTTTAGAGGAGGCAGTGTAAGAAGATATGCCTCTTGGGATACTGCCTGCCATCTGTGTTTTAACTTTTTTAAAGATATTTTAAAGACACTTCGTTTCTTCAAACTGCTGGGGTGACGCACAATTCTGTCTTCTTTCCATCCCAAATTAATTCTTCCTCAGTCAAGCAACTTGAAGCTGGGTGCACAGTTATGGTGTTAGTGATCACTCATTTAATGCGATGGCAGAAATAACCATCCATTGCTTGCCCACATCCAGTATTCTTGAGACAGTTGCTTATAGCACAGAAGGAAAGGAAGTGTCATCACAGTAACTTGTCAATGCAATGATTGACCAGTATGACAATATAGTCACAAACTGCTGGAAAACTGGCTCTTATACATTGCAAAGATTTTTCTTACTCGTGCATCATTCCCTGTGAGATTTCCGTATACCTATAGTTGGAAACCTGAGCTGAAATCAAGGATTAAGTCCCGTCTCAGTCGAAGAGAAATGTGATCCATCTGTATTGTAGGTACTTGTGGAGAAAAAAGGCTTGGTACAGTGGTTTGATTTCATAATGTGGCTGTGCTGCTCTGGCAGGATACAGTTTATAGAAAGGAGAATTCTTTAAAACATCAAAAACAGAATAAATTGTACATGGCAAAATACATGCCCACCCTTATGACACTGAATCTTCAGTGATAGCATCACACTTTTATACAAGCCCTTCATTATTTGTTCTACTTTATTCCTGTATGTGTTTGCTTCAGAATTTATTGCCAGTTGATGAGAGAAGACTTTCAACAGTGTTCAAGCTTAAGAGTGAAAGCAAAGTTTTGAAAAGCAAAACTTCAAAACCTCACTTGCTAAGGCATACTTTAAAAGCAGGCTATAGTGTCAGCTTCCATGCATACTGGAAAATGCAGCCTAGGAATTTCTTCAAGAGCAACTTCCGTATCCACTGGTAAGGCTCTTGGCTTCCCCTCTATGGAGAAACCATGATACTTTTCCCCTCTCCCACACACTTAGAGAGAATCAGAAAGCACACACTTGGGATTCCCCATTTTGTTTCCAGAACAAGTTTAATCTAATATACATATTCCTAGGTACATTAATAACCAGAATATGCCCATTGAAAAAGTTAAAAGGTAATTTCCCTCCAGGCTCTGTTCAGCCTGGGTTCCAAATAAAAATGAATGCTTGTTATTTCTACACAAAACTAGAGTTTAAAAAGTTGAGGTTCTATGAAGAGAGAGAGGAGAGCAACAGTGACCAAGAACAGGAAAACAAAACTTCCGGTAGGACCTACTGTTGCTGCTTTGGGAACTGCACCAAGTGCCTGCTAAAAAGGAGAAACACAGTGTCCCTCCACCAAGACATCCACAAGACCATGCTGCCCTAAGCCCTTCGTACCCTTGGATAGGACTTGCTTATCCAGAGTTGGCTAGAAGGACACGTCATCCCTGATTTCAAGCAGAGGTCACCAATAGGACATCGTCAGCCATTTTTAGCCCAAGGCTAAACATAGGAAAGAACCATAATCCTCTGCCAAAATCTCATTTCCACAATATGACAGAGCTGGATTCTCTACAGGGTCCCAATGGAATGGAGAGGGACACAACCAAGTGACATCAGGAAGGGAAGGAATGGGGAAAATGCATATGGTCAAGGAGTCAATGATTGCCCCTTTAACACAGGTGGGACCAAGACCCCATTACACATAGGTTAGGGGACATGAACATGCACAACAGGATCCAACGTCTACAGAAACTAAAGACCTGTCACTTAAGGAGTCAAACATACATTAACTCTAGGGTCACATACAGAATCAACAGCTTTCCCCACAGAGCAATGTTGCTCTGCTTCCACCCTCCCAGCTTGAGTATTCTTGGCCTCAAACAGGTCCTCACTTTCACAACTTTCACTAGAACCTCATATTCACGACTCTCGCCATCACATCTCCCACATCCCGAACTGCAACAGAGCAAGTGCATGCTTCCTCCCTGTAAAAGAGAGTGTGACTTTGAAGAAGTTTGCATTCACTTGAAGGACAAGGAAATTCCCATTTTACTTTGTTCCACGCCCTTCCCTCTGTGCAGAGAGAATGCACACAAGAAAACTCCAGCCTGGAATACCATTGCTGTAAATAAGGAGCATCTTCAACAGACAGCATGGTTTATTTAGTGCTCAAACTCTGGAACTCTTCCTCCAGTGCCCCCAAAGTCCAAGTAAGTCTACAGACACCTGGCCTCTAGCAAAGCTGTGGAACCAGAAGGTCAAATACTGCTTTCGCCCTGTTTGTTAACCATTAATCTTGCTCATTTGGAAAGGTGAGGGAAAAACCCTGGAATGCTGGTGCTTCCTAAGAGCTTTGCTACTGGGCCTCAGCTACAGGTGCTGCTGCAGGCACATCAGTCCCACTTCGCAAGGCATCTGCCTTGGAGAAGTTAGTTTCCAAGATGTGACGTTGGAGGTGTCTCACCCACTCCTCTTGGATGGAGAGGGGCCCCTGGAACTCCACTTCACAAAACCTGCACGAAGAGAAAACAATGTCTATTCGAGTCAATTTGAAGAATTTTTCATTACAAGATACATAATGAAACATTCTAAAAGTAACAGAAAAAATGTTTGGCCTGCGTCTGAGTTGCCTGAAGGAAGAGGGACTGGCCTCTGTCATACAGCCAAGATCACACCATAGAGAGCATGGTCAGAGACACTGCACACTATTCAAGCTTTGCTGAAGACAGGGGAATGAGCAAGATGGAGCAATGGCACAAACCTGCACTTGAGTGTGTAGATGTTGCCTACAAACTTCACCAAAGAGGTCTGCGGTGGCCTAGGGACCAAGGAGGGCACTGGTCTCACTCTCGGGGGTGGCTGGCGGACCTCTTCAACCTTCTGATGCAAGTCGCTGGTCTCCTCTTCCCGAGGTGGCAGAGCCTCAAGGGGTTTGGCCTGCCTCCGTTCAAACTCTAATGACAAAAGAAAGGTTAATTTCAGATGGAATAGTACACTATAACAAACAGCATGGGCTGTGATAGTTTTGCTATAAAATTAGTCAGATTTAGGGGAAAAAACGGTGATATGGGGAGCAGGATTTAAGAAGTCAAGTCTAAAATCCATGCAGGATTTCCTGAAGAACTTTGTTGGTTTAGGGGTAGAGAAACTAGGGGTATAGCACTGTCCTCCTGTCTCCCCTGCAACAATAATCTTAACTTACCAGTCCATTTGGTAACTTCATTGAAGCCCTTTCCTGGAACTACCCAAAATACTCGGGCAGGGAAGCAGAGACCTCAGTGAGGGATTCATGAACAGTGGGAAATCAGATTTGTGCCTGCACTCCCCTACCTGATGAAGAAGCCACTGTCTCCTCTACCAAGAGGCCCTCCTCTGACTGTCCAGCAAACATTGTGATGGGTTCTCTCTGGGCATTTTGGAAGCAATGACTCACTGTTGATGTTATGCTGATGATGTTCCTCCACCTTTACCAGCGATAGAGGTGATGTGACTGCAGATCGTTCACCGCTGTTGCTGCCACCACTGCTGCCGCTGCCACCACCATCTGCGGGTTTGCTGGGCTCAGCGGACACCATCTCCCCACCCAGGCTTCTGCTCACCAGTGAAGGGCTGCCTGCCTGCAGGCTCAGGGGAGCCCTCTTCCCAGAAGCATCATTGTCACGCACGTGAGAGGCATTGCGAAACTTCTTGGTGAAGGGCCGCCCACCTTGGATGTAGCTGCGATAGGCTCCAGCTTTCTGGGGGCGATGCTTGATCCACTCACTCAAAGTCTCGATTGGGGAGCCGTTCACACACCATTCAGTCACTCCAAACTGTCTGAGGTGTGCACGAGCATGGCTGGCCAGTGCCTTGCGGTTCTCAAAGTAGAGGCCACACAGTTCACAGCAGGCTTCACTGGCTGGGAGCAGAAATGGTAGGGAGCTAGACTGAGCAAAATCCTCACTAAAGGACTTAAGCAGCAGCAGTTCAAGAGTGGAGCATAATGGTTTTATTTGCTCCATGTCACTACTCCTAATCCCCCATAAAAAGATCATCTGGGCTTGAGACTGAAAGGCTGAAGGGCCCACTTAGGCACTCTTACAGCACTGATTCCCAGTGTCCCTCACCTGTACACCACCAACCAAGTCAACTAAATGTCACAATCCCTTGCATGTAAGCAGGCATGTTGCATATTTTTGGTCACATGTGAGCCAAAGCTGAACACATGCGAGTTTACTGATTTACCTGATGCCTGAATCCCCAAAGATGGTGAAATAACTCACTGTCAGCCAGAGGCTGTGCAGAAACTAGTTAGTTTATTATATTTACATCCCACCCTTTTTCTTCCGAGGAACTCAAGGTGGCTTACATAATTCTTCTTCTCCTCTCTTATCCTCACAAGAAGTCACCCCATTAGCTCCATGGCTGAGTGGGGACTGAGTCCCAACCCCACAGTCTTAATTGCTGCACCACACTATTTAAACTTACACCAAGGAAAGCAATCCATTAAGCAGGATTACTGGTTGCTGATGCTGGTTTGCATCAAAAGCCTTCTCTAAAGACTGCAGTGCACTCTTCATTATCTGAGGCCCCTCTGATGTCCCTCCCCTCCCCTTTCACCCACAACTCAACCAAGCACAAAGCAATTCGGTTTCTTTCGACTGCAGCAAGTTTTCTCTGGATCCCAACATCCCCTCCCCTTTCTGGGATAGGACTTACATGTATGAGTGGGCTTTTCATGCACATGTTTGGCTTTGAAGGGCAATTCAGTCTGGATGTAGGTTTTTTGCTTCACTTCACTATGGCTACTCAGCCGTTCATCTGATAATGGACGCTTAGCGGAAAGTGGTGCCAAGAATCCTTCCTGTGATTTGAGGGGAGACAGAGAGACCTCCCGACCAAGGTTTGGTTTCCCAGTCCTCCCGCCCAGCGGGGACAAGGCCATAGGCTGTAGCATTTTCCCAGGGGATTTAGGGTCAGGTCCATCCTCCCCCATAGGCTTTGGAAGCTCAATGCTCATTGTGTTTGGTTCCTTCTTTATCAAGCATGGTTTGTTCTTCTTCTTTATGATTTCTCGTAGTGTATCAATGGGAGAGCCATTGACTGACCATTCAGTTACTCCCATCTGACGCAAGTGAGATCTGGCATGACTGGAGAGCCCCTTCCGATTCTCAAAAAACTCACCACAAAACTCACATCGAATATCCCGCACAGGGTCAGCACGAGAGGCTGCAAGGGACAGATGAAAGTGCACAAAAATATTTAATACTCAAAGGCATGGAATTAGCAGCAAGTCAGCTAACCCTCTCAAAATACCTGCTTTATATATCTAGCACTCTTCAATAAACAAAAAATGTAAAGTACTAAGCACATTAGCAGCTGATATATTGACTTCTTTATCGCCACCCATCAAACTTTAGGGCATAACTGATTCGTTGCCCTGGTCACTGAGGCCTGAATCCAACATTCTGCAGTGTATTATTTTAATGACTAATTTTAATGGTAACTTGATTTTAATTGACCCTATTTTTAGTTGATTTTAGTTTAAATTGTTTTATTCTCTTGTTTTTATGTAGTATTTTAATTTTGATGCATTATATTTTTATAGTTTGATTATGTTGTTGATTATAAATCAATATTGATTATCAATTTAGTATCATTGATTTTTGAATGCTGTGTTGTTTTAATTGCTGTAAGCTGCACAGAGAGCCCAGGTGTGGACCATTGCAGTGGCACACAAATTGAAATAACAAACAAACAAACAAACAAACACATTCCACTAGTTTTAGGATGACTGGCATTTGGAGTTGAGTGTTTCTAGTACCTGTATTTTGCCAAATATGAATGGGTTCTCGTTGTTCAACGAAAGTGTCAGATACTTAAGATTTTAGCCTCCAATTGTTTTACAAGCAATCCAACATAGCTACAAGTTCCACAAAAGTGCACAAAACACTGCACACATTGCTACTGGGATAGCACCCAGTATCTTAATTACCAAGAACTGTCCCTTTTTCAACTGTGAAAATATCCATGACCCTCATTCCCACTCTTGAGCCTACGTAGACATGTATTCTTGCCTATACCAAAGCTTGAGAAATACAGACCCATTACCAGCACTTACAGAGATTGAGCGGGGACATCTCTTCTCGTGGTGACCAAACTCTGTCAGAGAGATGTGACTCATTGTGAAGTCCCCCAGTCATCATTTCCCGCTTGATCTCCATGCGCAGTTGGTCTTGTTTTAGTTTCTTGTGCAGCGAGGGAGAAGGAAGACCCGAGAATATTTTTCTAGCAGTTGGAGGAGGAGAAGAGGTAGGAGAATGCCCCATGGGGCTCCCTGGCTGTTGTGTCTTCTTAGAGATTGTAGAGACATGGGCCTCCCCTGGACTGCGTGGCTCCAGAGAACCTCCAAGAACATTAATTGATTTCTGACCATGTGCTGGGGAGCTGGAGGTACTGCTTCGAGGCTGAGATCGCCGCTTCAAGATTTCTCGGAGCGTGTCAATAGGGGAGCCATTCACGTACCACTCAGTCACCCCCATCTGACGTAGATGTGACCTGGCATGGCTGGAAAGGCCTTTCCGGTTTTCAAAATATTCACCACAGAACTCACACCTGATGTCCCGTACAGGTTCTGCTCCAGAGGCTGAGAAGGAGAGGAAAACAGACAATCAATTACAGTGGCTAAAAGAAGGATCAGACAGAGAGCAGCAAGTGATGTGGGCACCAACTAGATTATTCCCCTGGAAGGTAGTATGAAGCAGGCACATAGCACAAGGGTTTTGTACAAGGCAAAGCTGATACCTCAAACAAGCTTGGCCAAAGGAAATAAATTAAATCACCAGGAAGAAAATTAAACCACCAACAAATCCTGTGCAGCATGAAAGCTGGGGTACGATGTGGTAAAAGCAAGGGACACTGGAGACATGGACAAGAGACAGTGAAGGCAGGCACTGTCAAATAAAAAATGCTAAGCATGGCTGATCCTGTCATGAAATTATCTCTCTAGTGATTAGGCAATACCTTGGCTCCTTCCAAATTCCATCCAACAGTTGTAGTAGTAGTAGTCAAGGTGTGTACAAAGGAATTTGGCATGGAAGCTCGATCTCCTCCATGACAGCTATCCCAGTCTCCTTCAAAATACTGGCTACCCATCTGAAGTAGGTGGACTAGCTGCATCAGATAATCCCACTGGATACCTATCCTATCTCAGAAAGCAATGCCTGCTTAATTGTCCTTCTCAGTATATTTAAAGGAGTCATACTTCCCAGGGTGTACTTGGCGAAGAACCACCAAGTATTCTATACTTGCTACCATAAACCAGAGCTATGCAGCTTCCTTTAGGTAATGCAGAGCAGCCAGTGCAAATGAGTGAAACACGACATTCAATATGGGGTGCTTGTGCTATTAAAGAGCTTTGAACCACTGAAATGTGGATAACTTTTTGGCTGATCCCCTCTATTCTCCCTGTACTGAGAGAAGGAAATAGCTGAAATGCCACCACCTTATGGCAACTGTTTCCTCCATCCCTGGATTGGGATGTAACATCAGTTTAAAGCCCTGCTGAACTTGTAAATAACAAAACAAGAAGGAATCTTCTTCCTTGCTCTGTGATTGCTAAGAGATTAAATGCCAAGGAGAAACATATTAGTACTGAGCATTCTGCCAACACTGAGCACAATCAATGAACACCCTAGAAAGTAGAGCTGTCAGAGTCCAACCAATGGCCACAAAAGGCTCAGGCTGCGCAAATATTATACTCATCCCTTCAAATAGCATAGTGATTTCCCCTTCATCTGCAGCAAATCTGTTCAGTCCAAACTTGTCTTGTGATACTCCTAACTGTAGAGCAACCACACATATAGCTTTGTCCTATCTGGGACAGAGAGATGCTGTCCATTTGGAGCAAGGTACAGCCATGGAGCAAATGCCCAGACAGGGAAAGAGGAACTTCAGCACACACAGAGGCCAGCTGGAAAAACTGCATTTTAGAGTTCAGGAAAAGCTTGCAGGAAAAGGGCAATGAAGAATATGTGGGCCAAAAAGCTTGCTTCCCCATCCCTTCACTGTTTATTAGACACATGGCAGGAAATGGAAAGGGGCCTGCATTTCTAGGTGTATTCTAGGTGTACAGCTCCATGTCACATAAACAAGACTGGGAAGGGAGAGAGGAGGAGGGGACAGGAGCCAGTGCTGATAGAACCTACAGAGATTGAGTGGAGCCATCTCAGCATCTGATGCCCAGTACGAACTGGAAGAAAGACCCTGTTTCCTTTGCAGACTGGCCACAGCTGACAGCCTGTGGCCATGTGGTTTCAGCTTCTTGGATGGTGGAGGGGAGTGAGGTGATAATACAGATGGCTGTTTGCCCAAAGGCCTTGGTGAGTGTGCTTGTTTCATGCCTGTGGCAGGTGTTGCTGTAGATGTGATCTTTGGGCTGGGTCCATCAGAGCTCCCAATCGCCCCTAAAGATTCTCTCTCACTAGGGAGGAGAGAGGAAAGACGGCCTTTGAAGTCTTCACTTTTGATGAGATCATTTAAAACATCAATAGGAGATCCTTTAGCATCTGGATCGCTCACTCCCAGGTGTCTCAGGTGGGCTCTAGCGTGACTTGACAGCCCTTTTCTGGTTTCAAACCAGGCACCACATAATTGGCAGTCAATTTCTCTGCCCGAGTCACTATCTACAGCTGCGGAAAAAAAAAACATTGATCACAATAGATACGAACACACTGAAAATGTGTCTCAAGCACCTGTTACAGGCAGCCCCAAAGGAAAGGCGTGTTATTCACCCATACACTGTTGCTGGCTTAACAGTTAAGCAGAAATACTCACAAGACGACATGTGTTTAATCAGATTTCCTTTCACTGGCCCAGATAAAGTTTTCAAACAAACATTCTCTCTCCTGAAAGCATGATACTTAAGCTTTTCTATCGCAGCTTAAACAACCAGGCAATTTAAACACTTGTAACTTTTAAGAATGAAAACATAAAAAACTAGCTTCAGTGTCAGATGGCACTAGTCCCAGATTTATCAAAGCTTCCAAGTGAGCTCATGCCAGAAAAGCAAGATGGCAAACAGAACAAGAGTCACTTTAAAGATTAATGCAAACTGTCAATTTAACAAGTCCAAAGCATTTGCCTACCATCCCATGCCTTCAGACTGAAAAATCTCATCTATACAGTCATTCCTGAGAATGGCACAAAGCTAAATAGAACACTTCTGAAAATGTGCTCATTATCCACACCTTTAGGTTTCGAGAAACTACTCCAATCCAATGTTAAGCTTTAGATTTGATTTCAAAATAGAGATGGACTGAGAAGGATATACCATAACTCTACCAATGCTACTGAACATGTTGTTGTATAATCTGTTAGTACGAATTGGGATGACACCAAGACTGACAGCTGTTGTTATTCAGTAAAGTGCAGAATTGCCACTTCAACAGCTTATTTTAGTTCATGCAGATTTAGCCAATTTCTGTTAATCTAAATTCAAACTCCTGTGAATGTTCAAAGAAACCATGTAAGCTATTTAGAAAATGGAAAGTGATTGGCCTTAAACCCCTGCATGGGTACATAACTGGCTAAGACAGAACACAGTTCCAAATCTCATCGGTCAAGATAAAGCCAAATAATAAAGAACAATAAAAGCAGAGAGAGAGTGTTCTAAAATATGAAGCAGAGGGAAAGAATCTACACTTAGGGTAAAGAGCTATAGTTAGAGATGGATTACAAAAGGGACAACTTGTTGTACAACTCCATTTCAATTGTGTAACTGAAGCAGAATTGCTGCATAATGAAGAACCCAAGTACTTAGCTTTCACAAATTATTACATAACAAGTGTCTGTTACCCCTGACAATACATTTTGATCAGCACTAAAAAGGGCATAGAAATGGTATTCCTGAGCTAATGCTAGCCAGATGAAAGTAGTATAAGATTCAGTCCTGGAGTGAACGGATCAAGATGTCATCTGATGCCTTCTAGACAGCTGGGCTATGGACCTTGGTGCTGGCAAGGCAATGGGAGGTACCAAAGAAAAGCATCATAAACTGCTGACACCCTTAATCAAGCCCATCAGAACCCCTACTCTTTCTTGATGGTTTTACTTACCTCTGTCTAAATACACCAAGTGAGAACTCACTACTTTCTCACCAGCAACAACTGCAAAGAACCACAAAAGGCAGAAGCACTGATTTTCCATTATTTCTCTCCACAGCATTAGAACATCAAATAGAGGTTACTAGGTAACATGCACCATTTCTTCCTAATTTTCAGAGAACACTGCTGAACAAACTTAATCCTGAATACTAAAGCTTAGAAGCAGTGTAGGCTATGTTCATCTCCAGATAAACTGAACACCTCTAACATTAACTGCAAGTTCACAAAACTAGCCATTGGCTCCATCAAGGAGAGAACACAGATAATATGCATATTTGCAATGGGGGGAAAGTAACAAATTGGAAGTAGTAGAAATTGCCTTTAGTTGGGAAACCTGAGATCCCAGCAGCACTAAACTTCTCACAATTTATTTTGGAATCTTATACAGAAACTTCATTTTAAATCAGCAGCTATCCCTTGGTTATCAGAAGGTATCTTAGCCTCTTTCTGTTGATAGAGTAGCTTCACTCAAGACTTTGAGAGGAAACAGATGGGGTTTACAGCAACTGTCCCTTCAATGGAGAAATATTCCTGTTTTCCAGCAGTGACTTAATGCAGTCTCTGGGCACACCCAAAAAGGCAAATTAGGAGGCCTTGTTACATATCCAAGAAATAATGTAAATATGGCTAACCTTCCCAAAGTTAGACTGGGAAAGGAGCCTGCTGAGTTAAAGGAAGCTGCCTCTTTAAGAAGAGATGAGTGCCTAGGAATAAAAAGTGGGCAAATTCTGCTCAGAGTACAGCTCAGAGTCAGAAAGAGCATGAGCCCCCTCTGAACTAACACCAAAGAACCATAGTGACAACCTGAGCGGTTCTTCAAGGATAAGTAAGGGACCCATTTGCAAGACTCCAAACATATCCAGTTTGTCTCTCTTATGCCCTTCCTTTACTGGGGTGTGCACAAGGTGTGTGAATGCAGCAGCCTGTGAAGAGCCAATGGATGTAAAATGTGTCTTGTGGGTGGGCAATCCCGCACTGGTGCACACTACAAGGTAATGCGAAACATAAGAGCTCCCTGCAAAATGCAAGTCAGCTCTCCTGTTTGCAAGCAGCATCAGCATCAAACAGACTCACTTAGATTTAAGGGGCCTTCTTCCTCCGGCTGTGGCCACTGTGCTTTAGGAGAACTCTGCAGAGGGCTCAGCGGTAGCTTGGGGCTTTTGTCGTCAGGGTTCTTTGGCAGAGGAGAGCCAGGCATAGCAGGTGTCACTTTCTTGAGAATGGGAGATCCTGGCTGGGTAACATTCTTGGGGGTGAAACCTGGAGGGGATTTGATTGCTTTGTTTATTACTGGTGGCTCTTGTGGCCGTTCCGTAGATTTGTTGAGAGGCGGCAACGTTGGTTGTGAGGACCCTGCAGTCCCTTCTTTGGGAGAAGCAGATTTTTTGCTAAGACTCGGAGAGATGGGGCCGCTGTCCACTTTGCCCTTCTGTTTCATCAGTTCATACAGTAAGTCGATGGGGGCTCCACTGCTCTCAGACTCAGCTACACCAAGCTGACGTAAGTGAGAACGGGCATGGCTGGACAGGCCCTTGCGGGTCTCGAAGCAGGTGCCACAGACCTCACATGTCGTGAGGTTTGGTGCTGGAAAGAGGAGAGTGACTTATTGAGACAAGGTTAAGCTTGATCCCACACTGTCTTTGCTACCAGTCAGTAGACCAGAGGTGCACACCATGTTATCTTGATGTAGGCCCCTCTCCATAAACCAGCCAAATATCACAAACTCGTCTCAGACTAGCTAAAAACATTGAAACCTACATCCTATTTTGCAGCGGATGAAGTCACTATATATTAGTAAAAAATGGTGTTTCATGGTGAAATTCCTTCAAGAAAAAACAACACCAAACTTAATTACAGATTTGCCAGGCAACCACCACTCACACATAAAATTGGTTCCAGGTGCCTTATGCCAGCTCAGCTGATGAAATTCACACAAGAGCAATAACCCCCCTTCATCACACAGCATTATAATTCTCATTTTCAAGCATATTTCAAATATCATTACCTATCTATCACTAGTTCCGTAATATAATCAAGCAGTAAGAAATCTATTCCATCAAGTAGCAGCAAAGGGAGAGATGGGAAGCAGAGCCATTCCATCAGCTCAAGAAAAGGTAAGTTTCACCAGAATCCTCTTTCCTTCAACTGTCACTTAGAAGCAGGCATTCCAACAGGTTGTGACAGAGGAAAAGATGGGAAGCAAGGCCAGTCCATGAGATATGCCAAGAGACCAGATTCATCAGGCTCCTTGTCTTCCTGAATTGTTTTCATTGCAGCTGGTCATTATAAATACTACATTATTTTAATAATTGAAGCTGAGTTTAATTGTTCTTCTCCTCCCTCCTTATTTCTTTCTCTCTTGTGGCAAGTCTTTTAAGTTTAAGTTTGGGGGCCAAGGACTGTTTTGTTTTGATTTATCCTTGTCAGCCACTCTTGGAGTGAGGCAAAAATACTTTTACTAAATAACTGTAATACTATTACAGTTTGCTACCTGCAATTATATGAAACACAGAAATATGAAAGCATTAACCTTTTCTTAATTTCAGGAACAAAGGCAAGCTAAAGTCAGAAACTAAGAGCCCTTAGAAGTTGTATGCCACATTTCCTGTGAAATGAAGATAAAGTGCAACAAAGGTGTTTGCCCATACACAAGCAGTGAGAAAATACCCCTACCCCCAATTAATAACAGTGCATACAGTTGCTGGAAGATCATATTTACAGAAGAGTTCAATGTAGACTTTGAATGATTTTTAAAATAATACATTGCATGGAAGACATTGTAAAATTTCATTGCTATACAGTATACACAGAACATTGAAAAAGAAACATTTTATTAGACTTTCAGTATTTAATAAAATGCAAGCTTTTGACTTACACAGAATTATTTCTGTGATTGTTTTTATGTGAACAGTTTTGTTAGTCATGGAAACTTGCAAACTCTCTCACCCACAGAAAAAAGGAAAATTAAAAGCATCCCCTCTTTATCAAGCAGGTTGTAAGAAAAGAACTCAGATCTGCACTGTAAGTCAGCTGACAGGGTGTCCTCATAGCAGCACAGAAGTCACACACAATGCTCAATAGCAACCTCAACAGAAGACAGACTCACTTTTGGAATCTTGGGAATCTGCCTTGTTGCTGGAAGGTTCAGGAGACAGTGAGCTTCCTATCCTGTTTGGAATTTGATCCAAGGACCCAGCAAGAGAACTTTTCTTCTGGAGGGATGGTGACCCCATCTCTGCAGTAATCATCTCTTCTTCTTCCTCAGAAGCCATAACTATCAAAAGACAGGAAAAAAATGGGGATTGAACTGGGAACTGGAAAAGTAACATAGCAAAAAAGTAATTGTTATGCAAATTACTCATTCACCTCACAATGCCATCTAAGAATAAAAAAACTTATTCCAATGTAATAATGGTAAACTTACAGTGTAAGTTGTAAAATGGTAAACTTACAGTGCTGTCCCATGTGTATCTATTCCAAAATAACTCCAAATGAGTTCAATGAGACTTACTTCCCAGTAAGAGTACATATGACTACAATCTGAATTACTTGCTAAAATAGAAATCTTAACATACAAGGAATACTGAAGATGTTATATTCACCACTAAGCACTTGCTTTTGCTTAAAAGTAAAAATATGTGTTGGGCCATTGAGCAACCATCCAGAGAGTCATGAGGCTATTGTGATGGTATATAAAAATGTTAACCAAATAAATAAAAACATTCCCACAGAAAGGTCAGCCAATAATGGAACAGTAACACAATAATATCAAAATACTTTAAGTCATGCTACTGTTTTGGGCTGAAAACACAAAACTGTACTCAGCAAAATGGACAGAAGGAACATTTGGATAAAAATAAGTATTAATAGAGGTAATGAAATCAGATTTTAATGACAAACTATGATAAATCAATCTATCTACTTGGACAAGACACCATACAGTATCTGTTATACATTATCCATTGGACAAGCTAAGCAAAATTCTTATGAAAAGTTAATAATCACATCAGCAAATCCACCAATTGGATGCTATTAAGTTACAAGCTGTATTTCCATCTTCAGCAGCCCATTCTTTATTTGAAACACAAAGCACCACACTGAGTGGTATTTACAGAGATGTTACATATATATGAATACAGCAAGGATTCAAGAGAAAATTTGTACTAATAAAAAGAGCAGCAATTACAAACAGCATTGGATGACAATATTTCCAACACAAAAGGAACAGTTTTGCCAGAGAAAAAAGAGACAGAATATTTTGCAAAACTATTTCTAATAAGGAGTAAAGCACAATCTTATCTACTACAATCCAAAATTAAATATACAGCAACATTGTTTTAAAAAAGAAATTTAGCCCCAAACTGGTAACAATGGTAATAAGGGCATAAGAGTAAGCATTATTCCCTGGCACTAATTCTTATTATACCAAGCCAGTGTGGTGTAGTGGTGTTGGGCTAAAACTGTCAAGACCCAAGTTCAAATCCCTACACAGCCATAAGGCTCACAGAAACCAGCTGATCTTGGGTCGGCCACTATCTCTCTGTCTAAGCTACCTAAGGCTGTTGGGAAGATGAATTGAAAAAGAAAGGGAAGTCATCCAGAGCTCACTGAAAGAAGGAAAAGATGCAATCATAGTAAATAAATATGACTTAATAGGATTTCTAAATAAATACACATGGGTGTATCATAGGAATGAAGATGGGGATAAACTAGGAAATCATTTAAGTAAGACTGATTCCAAATGTTTACTTGACATATTCACTACAATTTAGAGATAATTTTATCAGCTACCTAAACATTGAGATAGTGTCAGTTTCTTAAAATGCCTTCAGTAAAGAACAGGAAGCTAGAGAAAAGACTGAAGTAGAACTTCTCTCTTTTCAAGGCTTTTCAAGAGAGAAGTCAACCATTCATTTCTGTATTCATGTTTAATCTTACAGAATCCATAAATTTATTTTTTCACAGACTACAATCAGTTTTTAAATCTGGCCTCAGGCTATAGAATATGTCAAGGAGTAGACAGTCAAAATTATCATTTAGAAAGATTTTTGAAATTCACTTTAGGGGTTCTATTTAGAAGCTGCAAAGAAGTGAGAATTGCTCTGTTTCTAGACGGATCATCCCACTTTTCCAGCGGACAAAGATGCTTTAATAAACAACCCCCTTAACAATCAGCAGTTGCTACCAGAGACAGTGACCAGGCGCGAAGGGCGCTGGCCAGATGCTGCGGGTGCTGCAGGTTAAATCCAAGGCGGCTGAAAGGACGCGTGGATCACTGCGATCAGTAAGAACCGGGAGAGACTGAGCTACCAGGGCGGGTGAAGAAGGATAAGGAGGATGAAAAAGGTCTAGCGGGCCTTGACAGGTACGGTTTCGGGAACTCAAGACAAGCTCAGAGAAAAAGGGCGCTGCTTACTGTCACCCAACCCACTCCCACACCGCCGTTCGGGGAGGATCCGAAGCCACACTCCCTTCAGCCTCAGCCCTGATTGCCCTGGAGGCGGGAGGGGAAATCAAGGAAGAAAAAGCTGTATTCTAGCCTGACATTCCCGGCTCGACCTTCCCACCCGAAGGGCCGATCCTCCCCTTCCCCCTTTCGGAGGCTTACCAGCCTCGGGAGGCGGCCCCGCGCCCACTTCGTCGTCTCGGGGCCGCGGTGCTGCCACCGCTTTTGTCGCTTTGGGCTGCGAGGGGGTGGAGGCCGCCATCTTGAGTCCGGCACATGCGGGGCGGCAGCCAGGCGGAGCGATAGAGCGCCGAAACTGCAGCTGAGTCTGAACAGGTGACGCAATCGAGCGCCGAGCTTAACCTAGAGAAGCCGGCCCGGGCGAACCAGAATTCCACAGGCCCAGAGCGATGCTGGAGAGCACAAAAAACGCAAGACACGGACCCAGACAGAAAGACTCCAGCACCGAACTACTGATTGCTCCCGCGCCTGCAAGGCTGGAATTACCGAGCTTAATACTCGGACAGACCAAGCCAGTAGAGCGCCTAATTCTGCTGAACGCAGCTTGAGAGATCCTGCAGTGTGGCAAAACCCAGGGGCAAACTGGGCAAAAGGTTTACGGGAGGGCGGAGCAGGCCAGAAAAATAAGGAAATGTTCGGATACCCTGGAGCAAATAACGTTGAATAAACAACTGGTGCTTTTGTGTCTAATCAAGCTAAAGTTAAATCTAATCACAACAATTATAAAATAGGCAATTGCGCAGAACTGAGCAATGGTATCAATCCAGTGTTCCTAGTGAGCATAACATCTGTGAGAATGGAGATAAAGTGTCGATTTTTCATCCCCCCCAATGCTTGACTCCTATCTATGCCCAGAATGCTATAGTTCAGTATTGAATAGGAAGTCAATCAGCTAAAAAAAGGATGACTAGAGTGCTTTAAGTCTATCTAGTCCACCTGAACAGAGCCCATGACACCTTGCATTCCTCAGGTTTCATAAGAGGTTGGAAACCCAGCCACCAACATATGCAGCAGAGAAACATTTGAAGGACAATCCACCATAAATATATATGTAGGGGTGGAGGAGGTCCCTGGAATGACCAAGAGACCAGAACAAAAACATTTCATTGTCCATGGCTTTCCCACAGGCTGCTGCTTGGCAAAAATTGGGAAAAGAGAAGAGCAGAGCATAATACTGTATGCCTGCATGTCTGCCAAGGTAGAGGAAAGAGAGTTTTTTTAAATCAGCAAAAACAGGGATTACAAAATTAATTTGATTTGAGCCTACATACAACGAGTTTTTTTAAGGTGGGTAATACACTTGGAGTTTTACTTTCCCATCATTTATGATGAATCTAACTAAGAAATATTTTAAAGACTTGTGTGTGTTCTATAGCTCATGCATTAGTTAGTGGATTAAATAACAGAAGCTAAATTTAATAGATACTTCAGCAGAATCCAACTTATTCCCTTATGCCCCACTGATTCCTATCCATAAGTGGGACCCATTGTTTGCAAAATAAACATTTAGCACCTCTAGCATAACTGGAAATGAGTAAAAATACACATTTCTGGAGCACAGCAGATCAGTAGAGCTCACATGAAGATACTCCAATGACCTGTCCATGTTGTACTCATTTCTGAGCTTCTTTTAAGAAGTGCTAAATCTTTGTTGTGTAAGCACTTGCACTAAAGAATCAGCAGAACACAAGGGTATTGACATTAGATTATACCCAGAAAAGACCTTTTTAATCAATCATTTTTTGATTGGTGGAGCTGTGAGTTAAGCCACTGTCAATGTAATCCTATGCATGTCTCCTCAGAAGTAGGCCCCACTAAATTCAAGGAAGCTTATTTAAAGCTAAGTGTACATAGAATTGCAGTATCTTTTTAAAAGCCTACTTTGGTTCTAGTACTTATTATACTAGAAAATGAAAACTGTATGTTCCTTTCGCCTAAAAGGGAGTGCTAGCTTTTAATAAATTGTAGATTCTTTGACACTTCCTTTAGTTTCTGCCTGCACACTGAATTCAATAGGGTTTCATTCTGAGCAGCCACTGAAGCTGATCATTTTAGCTCATCTACCAGCCCTAGCCTAGCACAGCGAATGGTGAGGGATAGTGGGAGCTGTAGCTCAAAACATTTGGAGGGCTTCCAGTTGTCCATCCCGATTAAGAACTAAAAAACCTTGACCTTGGTTGAAATACCTAGCTTGTACTTATGTTATTGCAGATTCTGGCCTAGGACTTTGTTTTCGAAAAGAGGCACATAGGGCAGATCAACATTAATGCTTCCAAAGTTTCTAGGATTTCTCACTGAGAATTCGATTTAGCATTTCATCACCAGGTTTATAATGCATTAGCTACTTCAAAGAAAATGTAGCAAGAACTCTAATTGAATTAAAGTTTGTTCACAATGTAATACACTTTCAACATTTTTGAAATAAAAATCACAATTCAGTCTGTCAGATTCTTTGACTTTGATATTGAAAATGCTAAATAAAACTATTGATGCATTAGAGAGGGTATAAAGATCGATGCAACCCCAAATATAGAATAATGTTTAAAATGGCACTTGCACTAAGTTACAGTACTTTTTCTAAGATACCTTACTTCATTGATTACAGCAAGGGTCTATTTAAATTTATGGTCATGCAATCTAACTGTTCTCCCATTACTGACAATAAATCTTCAGAATAAGGACATAATAATTTCCTCAGAATCTGAATGAGGAGAAACAAAATATTCTAAACCTGAGTCCTTTACTAACATCAAACACTCCATTCTCTAAATATGTCTCCCCACTACCAGCATTGTGTTTCTATCATC